GGTGAAGGCGAAGAGGGCGGGTATAGAGGGTGTGGGATACACGTATTGAATGGCACGCGAGCAGATCAGAGCGATCGGTCTTGGAATGACTTGAACTCTCACTGCAGAAAGATAATTATTGTTGATCTCCCCCCTCCGGTGACTATTGTGCTTTTCAGTGGAAGTGCTTCCTCTGGGGCTCACACCCTGTTTGCATCAAGGAAACTCACTAGACTCAAACTGCGTTGTTGGCCCCTGGATTCAACAACGCCACCAACACCACCAACACCACCACCAACAACAACAACAACGGCTCCCGCCTGAGACTTCATCACAATTTACCCAGGACCCACGCTTCTGCCTGGCACTTCCTCTCATTTTACGCAGGAATCGCGCTTTCGCTTGGGACTGCCTTGTACTTTTTTGCAGGAGTCGCTCTCTCGGCGTTCTGGCGTCGCGCTCTCGCTGGAGACCTGCTTGCAATTTACCCACGAATCGCGTTCTTGCGTTGGAACTCTTCGCAATTGGCACAAGCGCCGCGCTCCTGACACTCAAACACCCAGGAGTCGCGCTCACGCTGACGACTCCCTCGCAGCTGGCTTACGAATCGGGATCTCGCTGCCCTTCGAGGCCCCGTTGCAGCCCTTCGTGGCCCCCTCCCTGCCCTTCGTGGACCCGTTGCGCTCCTCCGTTGCCCCCTCGATACCCTTCGTGGCCCCGTTGCAACCCTTCGTGGCCCCCTCGCTATGGCCCCGTTGCAACCCTTCGCGGCCCTCTCGCTGCCTTTCGTGGCTCCGTTACAGCTCTTCGTGGCCCCGTTGCAGCCCTTCGTGGGCCCGTTGCAGCCCTTCGCGGCCCCCTCGCTGCCCTCCGTGGCCCCGTTGCAGCCCTTTGTGGGCTTCTCGCTTTCCCTAAAAACAAAAAAAAAATACCAAAAGCACAAGTAAAAAAGAAAATAGAAGAAAAAAAAAAATAATAAGAGGTAAAAATATTTTAATAAAAAAAAATAAAAAAAAAGAAGGTAAAAAAAAAGATGATACTAAGTAAAAAATAGCAAAGATATATCGCAAAAAAAAAAAAAAAACGACATAATAAAAAATACACAAAAATTAAAAGTTTTTAAAAGAAGAAAATAAAAACAATAAAAAAAAAAAAAAAAAAAATAAAAAAAAAAAAAACATAAAATTATCACGAAAAAAATTCAAACTTATGAATAACAAATCAAATTAAAAAAAACAAAATAGAAAAAGAAAATGTATTAAAAAAGAAATTAAATAAAATGAGTGATAAAATAAACAAAAAAGAAATAGAAAAAAAAAATCTATCAGTAATTAAATTACACACACAAACCAAAAAGGCGAAAAAAAATCAACTCCGTGGTTGTGTATCAACCCTTTCGTGGCCCCCTTACTGCATTTGGTGGCCCCGTTGCAGCCCTCTGCGGCCCCCTCGCTGCCCTTCGCGCCCCCATATATGAATGCAGTTCGTGGCCCCCGCTCGCTCGCGCCCGTCGTGGCCCCGTGCCCTTCGTGGCCCCCGCTCGCTCGCGCCCGTCGTGGCCCCATGCGCATGCCATTCGTGGCCCCGCTGCCGCACTGCGTGGCCCCCTCGCTGTCCTACGTGGCCCCGTTGCTGCCCTCAGTGGCCCCGTCGTTGCCTTCCGTGGCCCCGCGTTATCTGCCAGTCGTGGCCCCCGCTCGTTCGCGCCCTTCGTGGCCCCATATGCATGCCCTTTGTGGCCCCTCTGTCGCCCTTCGTGGCCCCCCTCCTGCCCATCGTGGCCCCGCTGTCGCTCTCGCTCTCGTTCTCGCTCTCGCTTTCGCTCGTCGTCGTCGTCGTCGTCGTCGTCGTCGCCGTCGCCGTCGCCGTCGCCGTCGCCGTCGCCGTCGCCGTCGCCGTCGTCGTCGTCGTCGTCGTCGTCGTCGTCGTCGTCGTCGTCGTCGTCGTCGTCGTCGTCGTGGTCGTGGTCGGTCCCTTGCCTGTCCCTCTTGGGGCCGGGCTGCCGCCGATCAGCGCTGCCGCTGGCCAGGCCGACGATCCGCGGCCACCCCGCCGGTTGCTGGGGATCGGCGTGCAGGGAAGAAAAATATACCCCCCAAAAGGGGTACGATCGAAGACGAATAAGGCGGGTAATGATCGAGGGTTTGGGAAATACGCGTTGGATGACATCCGAGCAGATAGGAGCGATCAGTTTCCGAATGACATTCTCACAATTGAATATTAACTGTTGTTGATCCCCCCCTCCAGTGACCATCGTGTGTGTTCAGTTGGCCTGCCTCCCCCGTGGCTCGCACCCTGTTTTTTTATCAGGGAAATCACTCGGTTCTAACTGGTAACAAGAAAAACGGCTCCCGCTTGTGACTTCCTCACAATTTAGCCAGGACCCCTGCTCCCGCCCGAGACTTTCTCCCATGTTACTCAGGGGTCGCGCTTTCGCTTGGGACTGCCTTATAATTTGTTCCAGGAATCCTTCTCTCGGCGCTCTGGAGTCGCGCTCTCGCTGGAGACTTGCTTGCAATTTACCCAAGGATCGCGATATTGCCTTGGAGTTCCCCGCAATTTACCCAAGCGTCGCGCCCCCGACACTCACGCACCCAGGAGTCGCGCTCACGCTGACGACTCCCTCGCAACTGGCTTACGAATCTGGATCTCGCTGCCCTTCGTGGCCCCGTTGCACCCCTTCGTGGCCCCCTCGTTGCCGTTCGTGGCCGCATTGCAGCCCTTCGTGGCCCCCTCGCTGCCGTTCGTGGGCCCGTTGCAGCCCTTCGTGGCCCCCTCGCTGCCGTTCGTGGCCCCGTTGCAACCCTTCGTGGCCCCCTCGCTGCCCTTCGTGGACCCGTTGCAGCCCTCCGCGACCCCCTCGGTGCCCTTCGCGGCGCCGTTGCAACCCTTCGCGACCCCCTCGCTGCCCCTCGTGGACCCGTTGCACCCCTTCGTGGCCCCCTCGCTGTTCCCCGTGGCCCCGTTGCAACCCTTCGCGGCCCCCTCGCTGCCTCTCGTGGTCCCAAATATGTGTGCCCATCGTGGCCCCCGCTCGCTCGCGCCTGTCGTGGCCCCATGCGCATGCCATTCGTGGCCCCGCTGCCGCCCTGCGTGGCCCCCTCGCTTTCCTACGTGGCCCCATTGCTGCCCTCAGTGGCCCCGTCGTTGCCCTCTGGGGCCCGATTTGCGCATGCCCTTCGTGGCCCCGCTGTCGCCCTGAGTGGCCCCTTCGCTGCCCTACGTGGCCCCGTTGCAAACCCTCAGTGACCCCGTCGTTGCCCTCTGTGGCCCAGCATTCTCTGCCTTTCGTGGCCCCCGCTCATTCGCGCCCTTCGTGGCCCCAAGCGCATACTCTTCGTGGCCCCTCTGTCGTCCTTCGTGGCCCCCTTCCTGCCCTTCGTGGCCCCGCTGTCGTTCTCGCTCTCGCTTTCGCTCGTCGTCGTCGTCGCCGTCGATGTCGTCGTCGTCGTCGTCGTCATCGTCGTCGTCGCGGTCGGTCCCCTGCCTGTCCGTTTTGGGGTCGGGTTGCCACCGGTCAGCGCTGCCGCTGGCCAAGCCGACCGTCCGCGGCCTTCCTGCCGCTTGCCGGGGCCCGGCCTGCAGGGAAGACAGATATACCCCCCATAAGGAAGGAGTACGATCGAAGACGAAGAGGGCGGGTAATTATCGAGGGTTTGGGAAATACGCATTGGATGACACTCGAGCAAATAAGAGCGAACTTGTTGTTGTTGGTGTTATATGTGTTGTGGTTGTTGTTGTTGTTGTTGTTGTTGTTGTCCTTGTTGTCCTTGTTGTTGTTGGTGGTGGCATTGTGTTTGTTGTACGTCTTGAATTACCGTTTCGAACGGATAATTGTTGTTGACCCCCTCCCCCGTAACTATTGTCCTGGGGCCCGCACCCGGTTATTTACAAGGGAAAACTGGGCGCCACCAAACTGAATTGTTGGGGCCCGAAATCCAACAACAACGTCTCCCGCCTGATAGTCCCCACCGTGTATTCCCAAATCGCGCTCTCGCGCAGGATCTCCTCACAATTTACGCAGGAATCGCGCTCTCGCGTGGGACTTCCTCCCACTGTATTCCGACGCCGCGCCCTCGACACTTCGGAATCACGCGCTCTCTGTGGATTTCCTCGCGCTTTATTTGGGAATCGCCCTATCGCTCGAAGCCCTCGCGATTCATGCAGGACGCGCGTTTCACCAACCCGCCTGCTTGACCTGGCCGCCTGGTCACGCCTTCCCGGCCCGGCCGTTAGGGTCTATCCGCCCGAACTGCCCATCTTGTTCTGCCACGTGCTTTCTGCTCCTAGCCCCCTCCTGCTACTCTCTCTCATGCTCCATCCACCTCCTCCTTGTCCCTTTCTTCCATCCGTCCTCCTTTCCGCTGCAAATAAAAAAAGATCTGCCCCGAAAGGGGGCACGATCGAAAGCGAAGAGGGCGGGTATCGAGGGTTTGGGATATACGTGTTTAATGTCACGCGAGCAAATAAGAACATATGGCTGTTTCTGTTGGTGCTATGATTATTGCTGTTAGCGTCCCACTTGCGACCCGGCCCACGACCCCGGCCCGCGACACGCCTGCGACCCACCCGCCGCCTTCCCGTGACCAACACGCGACCCTTCCGTGACCTTTCCGCGACCCACCCAGGCGACCCACACGCGACCCACACGCGACCCACACGCGACCCACCCACGACCCACACGCGACCCACACGCGACCCGCCCGCGACCCACCCGCGAACCACTGCGCGCCCGCCCCCTCGTACTTGTCCGCAACTGCGGGTTGCTACGTATTGCTTTGGTCAGTCGTTCTCCGCGGTTATACGGTCAATCTGGTCCTGCTTTGAAGAGTTGTCCCCCGCGGCTGCGGTCAAGATTGCCTTGCCCTGGCGACTTGCCCCCCCCTCCCCCCACCCGCCGTCCCCCATCCAATAGCAGGATGCATCTCTGACCCGCAGGCGCACACAAGACTCCACTGGCCCTCCTCTGGCGAACGCTCCGCAAGCCACGCCGCGGCGGGGCCCTCGCCCCCTCCAGGCGCCTGGAGCTCGCGGGCCCGGTCGCTGACGCGGCGGAGCTTCGCCTCGGCGTCGGCGACATCCTTCACACGGGGCGATGGACGCTCAAGGAGGGACAAAGCAAAAACATGAACATGAACTTTCGGAGCTCCGCGCCGAGCTTGGATCGGCGCCGGGCCCCATGGCGCGGGGGCTCTGGCGTCGATCCAAGAAGTCCGCGGGGATCTTACATTCCAGCAGCTGCGCCTCGCCGAAGGTGTTCTGGGGTTCCAGGATCGTCCTGAACGGCCGCTGGAGGCCCGAGGTATGACCAGAACGTCAAAGGGCGACGCTAGGGAGGGGTGGGCTCAGGGGGGACGCGTTGACCCCCAATCGCCCATTCATCGCCGATAGGAGCCCGATAGCCCATGCCCCCACAAGGACGTGCAATTTCGCTGTCAGGGGCCGATCGCCGACACGGGAAAGACTCGGCCAGGCGAAAGTCGGCCTGGCCGAGATCAGCCGGCCGAGTTCAACCTGGCCGAGTTCAGCTGGCCGAGTTCAGCCTGGCCAAGTTTTGTTCTGGCCAGATGGAATTGCTGCCTCGCCGATCTGTCGGCGATGTACTCACCAGTCGGAAGAAGTGAGTGGAAACATGAAGTAGGAAGGCGGATGACGTAGATTGGTGCGGGCTCGCCCAAAGAACCACGACAACGACAACAAATGGCGATTTTTGAAATAGGACGGCGTCTGAAGTAGATTGGGATCTGAGAGTCCAAAAATCTATCCATTCAACGACCGGCGTGTATGGGAGATGTGCATTTTTGTTACCGTTTTCGGCCTCCAGGGGCCCTCGCCGGGCCCCCGCACCGTCAACAAAACAACACTCGGGATGAAAGACCAGTTCTAAGGAGATGGTCGGGACTTCCAGGGACCTGGAACTGAGCAAAAAAACAAGAAATCGGAGGTCTGGGGTCTGGGGGTCGAGACTCTGGCTTCTGATGGCGTCTTATTCGCTCTGAGCCTCCCGGGGGGGAATCCTCGTCGCGGGCGGCGGCTGGATCTCCCGCCAGACTCTGGCCAGACGGCGCCCCAAGCCGGCTACACGCAAGAATGACACTGGGCAAGAGTGGCCTGTGGTGCGAGGCTTCACGGGGGACGCGGGGTGGCCAAACCTGGGCGCACAAGCGCTGCTACCGCTTCGCGTTCAGCGATCGGGGGGGCCCATTGGGCCCGCACCAAAAGTCACTCCTGCGAAAGGTCACTCCTACGCTTAATCGGCCAAGGGAAAACAGGGGCCCCAAAGGGAAAACAGGGGGGCGATGCTCTGTGAGCTGGCATGCAGGGAAGGTGCCGCCGAGGTGGAAGAGGCGGGCTGGAGAGAAGCGGGGCAGGAAGAGCCGCCACGAGCGCGGGAGAGGAGGTGGGGGGGAAGGGCCGCCCGCGCGACGCTCTCCCGAGAGACAGAAGGAAAGGCCGCCCCCGAGAGGGCCTGCGTTGGCGGCCGCGCGCGCGGGCGCTGGCCGGCGGAAAAGGGGTCTTGAGGAAGGGAGTCTCAGAAATGGCTTGCCCATTTTCAGCCAAGGGGGCCGCTCCACAGGCCACGGGGCCGTCAAAACACAACTCGGGATGAGCAGCCAGTCTGGGGGAAACACACACACATACACATACACATACACATACACATACACATACACATACACACACGCACACACCCGCACGCACACACACACACACCCGGACAGACACACAGGCCAGACACACGAACAGACACACAGACACACAGACACACAGGCACACAGCCGCGCAGACACACAGACACACAGACACACAGACACACAGACACACAGACACACAGACGCACAGACACACACGCACACACAGACACACAGACGCACAGACGCACAGACACACAGACACACAGACACACAGACACACAGACGCAAAGACGCACAGACACACAGACACACAGACACACAGACACACAGACACACAGACACACAGACACACAGACACACAGACACACAGACACACAGACACACAGACACACAGACACACAGACACACAGACACACACACACGCACACACGCACGCACGCACACACGCACACACACACACACGCACACACGCACACACGCACACCCACACACACACACACTCGCACACCCACACACACGCAAACACTTCCATCGTCGGCGGCTAGGCAGAGTGACTGCGCTGGCGGAAGAGCACTCGTAGGGAATATGGATGCGAATTCAGCCGCAATGCGCGGACGACAGAGGAGGGACACCCAGCGCGGGAGACGGAGGCCCGGCTCAGAGCGGGGCCAGGCGGCGGCGGAGGGGGCGCCGGGGGTGGGGGCCAGCAGCAGCGGGGCGGATGCTGGCGGGGGGGGGGCCGGCATGGCAGGCTGCCATGCAGCAGGCCGTGCAGGGGAATGCCCAGCACACACACACAGACACAAACACAGAGACACACACGCGCACACACACACGCACACACAGACACACAGACACGCAGACACACAGACATGCAGACACTCAGGCACACAAACACACAGACACACAGACACACACCACACACACAAACACACACACACACACACGCAAACACGCACACACAGAAACACACAGAAACACACAGAAACACACAGAACACACACACAGACACACAGACACACAGACACACAGACACACAGGCACACACACAAAAACACAACCACACACACATAAACACACACAAGCACACATACACAAACACAAAAACAAACACACACACACAAACACAAACACACACAAACACAAACACAAACACAAACACACACACACCAACACATACAAACACAAACACAAACACACACAAACACAAACACAAACACAACCACAACCACAACCACAACCACAACCACAACCACAACCACAACCACAACCACAACCACAAACACAAACACAACCACACACATACAAGCATAAACAAAACATAAGCACAAACACAAACACAAACACACACAGACACGCCAAGCGGCGTGCGCTGTGTTGCGCTGTGATGTGCTGTGTTGTGCTGTGATCTGCGATGTTGTGCTATGTCGTGCTGTGGTGTGTCGTGATGTGCTGTGTTGTGAAGTGATGTGCTGCCACACACGCACACACGCGGCCGTGCTGCGCTGTGCTGCGATGTGATGTGTAGCGGTGTGGCATCTGGAGCCACCGGTTCTGTGCCGGGAGCACTGTCCCTGGCCCCCGATTAGAAGTTCTCGTCGTCCTCTCTCTCCTCTCCCCGTCCTCTTCCTCCGCCTCCCTTCTGCCTCCTTCCCTGCCTCGTCTTCCTCCCTGTCGCCGTTGTCGTCGTCGTCGTCATCGCCGCCGTCGTCGTCGTCGTCGTCGTCGTCGCCGCAGCCGTCGTCGTCGTCGTCGTCGTCGTCGTCGTCGTCGTCGTGGTTTGGGTCGCCCCACTGTCAGGTGTGATGGCATGGTCATGGCTCGTGGGTTGAACCTCTTAGTGGCCCCCTTCGCCCTCCTCCCCTTTTACACGCGCACACACGTGTGGCTCAAACGCGCTCTCACACCCACCCGCTTACCCGCGTGCCACCGTGAGCCTTATGCGGAGCCGCGCAATGCAGGTGCACCCCATCACGCCACCCAGAACGGGCTGGTCCACCCACCAAAACCGACAGCGGCAACCATCAAAGTGACGTGGTTTGCTCGCAAGTCGTGCGCGTCGGTGTGCCCAGTGCCAGGAAGGGGCCCGTCCAGGTGAATGAGTGCGACAAGAGCAGCGCGCGGGGTGTGTATTTTGGCGTTAGCTGGCTGTACAGTGGACCGTGCCCCACCCACGTTCCTCCCCCTCATCCACTGCAGCTGGCATTGCTTGCCGTGGCGTGCAGCTTGGCATGAGACTGTGCGAGGAAACGGTGTCGCCGCTATGAGCGGGCAACGAACGAACACGCACACACACAAACACAAACACAAACGCAACACACAAACACAAACAACACAACACACACACACAAAAACACAAACGCAAAATTAAACACAAACACAACACACACACACGCACACACAGGCACGCACGCACGGACACAGACACAGACACAGACACAGAAACAACTACACACGCAAAAGCACACACACACAAACACGCACACAAACACACACACACATTCACGCACGCACGCACGCACAGACACAGACACAGGCACAGACACAGGCACAGGCACAGAGACACACACAGACGCAGACACAGACACAGAGACATACACACACAGACGCATATACGGACTCACACACAGACGCACACACACAATTCAGATCACAGGAGCGTTTGCGACAGAATCACGACGTCGGCAGTCCGCAGACGAGGGCGTGGACGGCGTCCGGCGACGATGACAGCGAGGGGGCGAGGGGCAGAGGATGAGGAGGGGGAGGGCAGGGGGCGGAGGGGAGGAGGGGGGGAGGGGGGGAGGCTGTGGAGAGGACGCGGGAGAGGAGCCGCAGCAGCAGGAGAGAGGAAAGACGGCGGCGGGCGAATGTTGTCTTGCAGCCTCAGGGGGCCCGATGCCCCATCGCGTCGCCATTCCCATCGCATCCGTGCCGAATCAATGCCGAACCCACGAATCCGCGCCGGGCCCACATCGAATTCACGTCGAATCCGAGGTCGAATCCGAGGTCGAATCTGCGCCAGGGACAAGCATTGTTACAGGACAGAGAAGGCCCCCGCAACATGTGCAACGTGAGAAACGGCGAGGGGAAACGATGTGGAAGGGTGGGGAGGGGGGGCTAGAGACAAGGGAAAAACTCGGCCAAGAGAACTCGGCCGAGCCGAGCTCGGCCAATCTAAACTCAGACCAGGGCCGAGTTTCGCCTGGCCGAGCCCAGCGAGGGCCGAATTTCTCTGGCCAGATTTGTCTGGCCGAATTTCTCTGGTGCGACTTCGTCCAACCGACTTTAGAGCGAACTCCCGCTGCAACCAGAGCGCCGGCTGAGTTCGGCGGGCCCAGTTCAGCGCGGGCAAAGTTCAACTTGGCCCAATTGTTCCACGACTTTTTGTTGGTCGAGTTTCTCCAGCCGACGAGTTTTCCCTGGTCCGAATTTGCGTGGCCGATGTTTTTTCAGAGCCGAGTTTTCTAGCCGAGATTATCTGGCCGAGTTCGGCTGGCCGAGTTTCGCCTGGCCGAGTTTATCCGAAATCGTCTTCGGGATCCGCAACGGGCGTTTCGCGCGCGCACGGCTCCAAGAGGCGAGCCAGCGCGAGGCGCATCAGGCAGGCGAGCCCCCGTTCCAACAAGCACAAACTGCACGAGCAAATCGAAGCGCCGGTATCATCCATCGAGCGGACTGGATTTCAGCATTGCTGCGCGCAGGTTCCCCACGAGAGAGTTGAGCTAAGAACACCGTCAGGAGAGACGATCCAAGCGTATCCGAGACGAGAAGAGCATAGCCGAGGAAAGAACCACCAACACCAGCAGCATACTTACCGAAAGCACGAAATAAATACATGTTCGACATTTGGGTGGCTACAACACGTGTTATGGTCACGCGCATTTCCTCCCTAATACAACCACCCATAATAAAACACAACAAACGAAACTGGTCATCGCAGACGCACAATATGTACGGTATTATAGTCACTCCAATGTTTACCTAAGTTCGTTGTCTCGCAGATGCACCGCATCCTTTTTCACTCTGCTCACTCCTTATCTCCTTTCGGAAGGTTGCCTTAGGGCAAGAAAATTGTGTGTCCACACAGCGTTTTGCAGTCGCACCCAAACTTCTGGTCCTACATGAAATGTCTCCCCCACGCCAACCCCCAGCAAAGACAAAGAGTATTTAAGCTAGGTCAGCGCAGACGCAAACATTGGCATGACTACAAAGAGTTCGGAAGCCTCCCGAACCCTCTCCCTCCTCCCCCCTCGTCTCTCCCCCCACGCCCTTCCGAACTCCAGCGATCCCCCAAGGCAACGTTCCCGCCCCCCCCCCTTCGGCCGACGCTTTCTGGAGACACGGTTGCGTCTCTTCAACCAACGCTCGGGGTGAAAAGGCGTCTGCGATGACTGTATGTCACTCCTCCCCGCTTCCCAAACACACCTCTTGGGCCCTCCTGGCCTCAAAGTCAACCCTCCGTGGCCGCCTAAATGCCCAAGATGCCCGCCAACTGGATTCAGAATGACCGAATTCAGTGGGCCGAGTCCAGCCGGACGAGTTCCTGGACGAGTTTACCTGCTGCCACGGGGACGCGATTTCTGCACGAGGATCCCTGTGCGCAAGCATCGAGAGCTCCTCCAAAGATGGCGTGCCTCGCCCCTCGCCCCCGAGGATGGGGCGCACAAGGACATGCTAGTCCTATGTGTCCTCCTTCGAGGCGCGTGTCCGACGCGAACGTCTGTCCTCGCGCCGTTTGTTCTCGACGCGCCCAAGTGGACGACGTCGAGACACCACAGCAAGCCCACGGCAGACCCCGCGCCCCGCGCCCCAAGAAGAACGAGGCAAGCACAGCGGCAAACCCCGCGGCGAACCCACCGCGTCCAAGACGGCGTTCGCCCTGGTGGCCGAGGCGCCCTCCCCAGGACGTAAGGCCGCGCGTCGGAACAAACGGCGCAGCGACACATACAACATAATCACCTCGTAGTATATCGTTTCCTGAGCGGTATTGTCAGAAAGCGCGAGCGCCCGAGAATCGTTTGACCGATAGCCATCCCCACCTGCATGGCCTTGGCCCCGCTGGCCGATGTACCCCCCTCCGCACCCCCATCGAATCATGAACAAATCACGACGGGCGGTTTTCGATTATTTCTGGCCTCTTGGGGATGCTGCCAAGCCTCGGGACCGTCAAAAACGACCAGGGAAACGGGTTGAGACCTCTGGGGTCGACGTCATTAAAAGATTCATGACGTCGGGGGTCTGGGTCCCTAGATGGGGATACATGATGCAGGGCCTCACCCCCCTTCCTCCTCAATGCTAAGAGATCCGTTTCTATTTGCGGCGAGAGCGGAGGTTTTCGGGGGGAAGTGGGGGTGGCGGGTAACGCCCGCGCACCACACCGTGACAGACTGTGGGGCTGGACGCTCTGCGGCAGTGCTGGGGACGCACTGGGCGGGAGGAGCGCTGCACTATGGGGGGGGAGGGGGGGGGGAGGAGGGGGGCATAACGCGCGTTATGGGCCAACGGTAACAACAACACTCGCTGATGGGATCGACCCCCCCCCCCCGCCCCTCCCGCTGGAAGGGTACGCCCGTGAGCCTCGCGAAGGCGTCGCGGATTGGTGTGCCCCCTGGTCCGCCCCCGTGGTCGTGGCCCTGTGGGCGTGGCGTGGTGGTGAGTGCCGATGCCCCTGCCTTTCCCTGTGAATGTGGCGCGTCGGCGTCGGCGTCGTCGCCGTCGCCGTCGTCGTCGGCGGCGGCGTCGTCGCCGTCCCACCCCCATCCCATCTGGAAGAGCGGGTGGGGGGGGCCTGTGAATCCCTGTGGCTCGTCCCATCTGGGTGGGCCCGTGATCCCTTGGCTTTCCCAAGGCCTGTCCGCAATTGGTGGGCGGCATGGTCCCAACTTCCGGAAGTCTCCGTCCATTCCCCAGGACCGGCATTTCGTCCTGGGTCGTTTCTTCCACGGTCTGGGGGCTCAAAAAGGGTCGACAGACACCGAAAACGGCCTAAAACCTCCTGCCGCGGTTTGTCACGACGCGAGGGGGTCTGGGGTGATGCCATGCCCAGTGGGGATGGGGCTCGGTTAGACGACGACGAACGTCGACTGCCAGCATTTGGGCGTTGCTCAGTGGGCGATAAACGTGGGGGCGAAGAAACGTACACCTTTCGTGCACCTCCGTTTTGGCCCCAGGGGCCGCTTTGGGGCCGCTGCCGTGCACAGAAGGTGCACTTTTCCTCACCCCCCTGCCTGTCGCCCCCCCGTGTGCAACGCCCGAGGCATCGGCGGTCCTGCTGCAGCTGGGCCCTGACCTCGTCCGAGTCCAGCACGGCTGCGCGCGCGTCCGCCAGCTCGGCCCTCAGCGCGTCCACGGCCGAGCGGAGCGAGCCCACCTCTGGCTGACGTCTGTCTCTCGTCTTTTTGTCTTGGGGTTCGGGATCAAACCAAGGCGGACCGACCCAGCGCACGGTGCGGTCATGAGGCGGCCACGGGCGGCAACTTGGCGAAACCTCGCTGGACCGATCCAGCGCGCGAGGCGGCCACGAGGCGGCCATCGGCGGCAACGAGCCACGACGCCCACTTACTGTCATGCCTAGCTTGTTCGATCTGCTCAGCAAGTACCTCCAATCGATATGCTCGACGTGCTTTCCTCTCAATCTTGAGCTCCCTCGTAAGAACATACAACTTCTGCTGGGAACGTACGAGCTCACCATATTCCGCACTACGTGCAATCAGCGGTGCAAAGGAGGAGGAAGACAGGGCGAACCCAGGGAAGCGCTGGGTTGATTGCCAGCCAGGAGCTTCGGGGGGGGGACCTGGCGGCAGGACGAATGATCCTATGAAGTTACTTCAACCCCACCTGGCGGCCAAGAATTACTGGGGAAAGCGGTCGGCCGCAAGAACTGGCCAGTCCCAGGGGGGAGATGAACGGCGGCGGCGCGCAGGTCCTGCGATCTCATGCACGGGCCACCCTCCTGGAGCTCTCGCGCCCCGACGCGGCGACAAAAACAATTCCGAGGGGGAATCTTCGAGAAAGAGGAGCGGGACCAGAGGTCGCCAAAATGCTTCGAAGATGCTCCAGGGAGGCTTCCCGAGAGACCCCAAGAAGCCTCTTATAAGAAGCCTCCTGTCCACGACCCAGGACAATGTGCACAGTATATACGTACGATAAGAAAACAACTTCAACAAATCCTGGGGATCATCTTGAAGCCGACCCTGAGCCTCAAGACGTGCCCCAGGGTGATGGTGAGGGCCCCCCGGAGGGGAACTGGGGAGCAATAGCAAACTATGCGGGGCACCTGCAGGCAGGGCCGTTTTCTATTTTTGGTTGTTGTTGTTGTTGTTGTTGTTGTTGTTGTTGTTGTTGTTTGGAGGCAGTTCCTGCTGACTTTGTTCTTTGTTTACTTCAGGAGGCGGTCTGCCCTCAGGCAGAGCAGTTCAGCCACCAGGATTCAAGAGAAGACGGACACGCCGTTCAATCTGCCAACGCTCAGCCAGGGAACGGTGTCGGCGGACCGTTGCCCTCACACGAGCGTGAATCCGCTCCTCGACTGAGCCTTCACGCATATTATGTTGGCGGCAGTTGTGAGCAAAACTGAATGCGTCATGGAGCGCAGCAGACGTTAATAGCGGGGTCGATCGACGATCGGAAAGACTGAAAAAGCCAACGCGGGGTGTCAGAGAAGGGGGCCATCATATCTCCGAGCCGAGGCTGACATATCCAATATAAGTTTGAGCACCGAGTGTACTAAATAAAATCATCCAAGTCAGACGTGGTAGGGTCAATCGGATCATTCTGGCAACCAGATAAACAGCCATGGGATTGGGTATTCAACCGTGCATATGTATTGATATATCTGACCAATAACCAAACCAACATCAACCCCACTTGAGGACCCGCTGATCTTTCTGACATCATCATCAGGGATCTGCCCCATCCGTCCAATCATACAGAGACGTAGATCAACGCCTGCATCCAGCAAGAGATCAGGCAAGGCAACACGAGCACGACACACAGCAGCCTGAAGGCCTCGCTGGTCGGGAGCAACCGAACACGGCGAGCGACATAGGGTGCCTTGCGCACGCTGGTAGCACTTAAACGCTGCAGAAACAAAACTACCCTGATACCAACCTGAGAGCGTACGATGTGTACAGATATCACCATCCTCGCTACACGTAATGATCAGAGTTCCCAAAATCCCCAGGATCCCTTCGGACCGATGGATCAGATGGTACTTCGAAGCCAGCGAAACCACATCAAGGATTTTCAAAGAGCCACGTACACCAAAATATTTCATATATGTCAACATCTGGCCAACCACCATGAGCTGGAGCGCCGGAACATAGGCCTTCGCGAAATCCTTGGACACAGGGGCAACTTGCAGGATGAAGGAGGACATGCTAAGACAGGAGGCGTTGAAGACGGGAGTGTTCTGAGTGAAGGTAAGGCCAGCAGCACGCGCTTCACGCACTCGGGGAGTGAAATTCATGACGGGCTTATTCCAATGCTCAGAGGAAGCAATGGGACACATCATCGTATCAATACTTTTGCAGCTCAATGCGACCTGTACGCCGGCCAAAGACGGACAGGTACTCAAGAATAGTGACAAACGGTCTCGAAATACCTGACCGTGAACCAAAATAATGAGTGCACTTGCACATATTAGCGGCGAGACCAACCGCAGCCTCAAGCCGCTGGATCACCCCGGGAAGGTGTCGCACATGCGTTAATGCCAGCCGAATGCCATAGAGGCAATCATCAACGTGTTCTAGACGAGGGTGTCGGCACGACATGTAGTGAACACGGATTTATTCTTGAAGGAGAGCAATACCTATACAGGACAACACCATGGAAGCAGGGTCTCCCTGATGCAAGCACCGAAACATCACAATGGTGACAAACTGTTGCCCCAAGAGAGAGATGATGGTCGTGTTCGTGTCATTCAGCATGCACAAAGCTTGGTGGTGGACCCAATGATCCCCATGTGCTCCAGGACCGTCAGAAACCAAGCACTCGACAGAGAGGGAAAAACGTCGGAGTAGTCCGCCAAGACCATGGAACTATCATCATTTTCTCGGACACGCTCTTCTAGTGCCCAAGCTTCAGCTCGAACGGTATGGGCAGCCATGCAGCGACCGAGATACAAACCTGCGAGCGCGGAATCATCTTCTTGGCACCTTCCCTGAGAGGCCAAGCCATACGGCGATGGCATTGGGTAGGGAAACCTTCGATAAGGAATCCAGGGTCTGGAATCCAGTGGGAAACCAATCGTGGATTGGCCATGGATATCACCGCCTCCCTCATCAGATAAGGAACCCTCCAGGGTCTGAAGCCTCCTAGGCACATTCCTTAACGAACGCCCCCACCGTACAAACACTCAACATCTTCGCCCCGGTTTTCGCGAGCGAGCAGGCCTCGTTTTAGCTGTGGGTCTATAGACATGGGCGCCCACAGCATCTTTCGAGTCACCTTTTGGGAGGAACACTGTGAGTACCTGTACAAATCTTCACATCGTTCCAGCCCTCTGTGATAGTTCGAGGAAATTGTACGGACATCTCCGAGGCACAACCAATAGTAAGGAATCCAACCAGGCCCAGGCATGCTATGTTTACGACGCAGGATACGCCCAGAGTAGTCGTATAATCAATTCCTCAAGATATAGCAGCTCCTACAGTAACCTGGCGGACACAAGACAATAACTCAGGCCAATGAATGAAGTCTCCTGCCTGCTCGCAGAAGGCATCACCCAAGTGAAGCGGAATGGTTTCAGCAGAAGCCTCTGGGTTGGGGAAATGGTGGTTGTTTTCATCCACCACTCCTTGAAACCACGTGCGACGACGGAACTGTTGCCAGAAAGCACGGCGACGCTCGAGCTTGCATTCCTGCTTCTGTCTATGGAAGTTCTCCGTGCCACCCTCCTCGAGCTCGAGCGTCGCAGCATCCGAGATCTTCAAATAAAGTTCGCGAATCTTGCCGCACAGAACCTCCAGGTCAAAGCATTCAAGAGAAATGTTCGATGTGCCTGCTGTCTACGAGTCCGGCGGGGCATCTGGATTTCTGCACTTCTGCCTTGGCCACGCGCGCGCCTCGTGAAGGCGCGAGATCCAGGCACAGCGATAAAGGCGGTAACGACACACTGACGGAGGCGGCGGATAACGGTGGCGGGACGAGGACGACAGACGAACGAACGCAATGACGCCACCAACGACGTTTGCAACGGCATCGGCGATACATCGCCGGTAGATCGGCGATAGGCCCCTGATAGAGAATCCGCAAGTTCCTGGGCGGGGTGGGCTATCGGGCCCCTGTCGGCGATCAGTGGCCGATTAGGGGTCGATGCGCCCCCCCCCGAGCAACGTTGTTGCCCACGAGTTCCTCATGCAATGTGCCTGCTGCAGACGAGTCCAGCGGGGCATCTGGGTTTCTGGACCTCTGGCTTGGCAACGTGCGCGCCTCGTGGAGGCACTTGGAGGCCTCCCAAATGGGATCCGAGCAGTTAGACGGGCTCCGAAGATCGCGCTGCATCGCCGATACATCGGCGATGCATCGGCGGAGTCGGCGATGTACCGTCGTCGTCGAGAAAAAGATCGGGCTCAACATCGAACCACATCGCCTTTTCATCAGCGATGCGGCGCGACCCTCCGTGTGAGAGGCCTGGAGCATCGAAGGGTGCGACCAGACAGGCATGGCTGCCGCCTCCCGCCGATCGGCCTCAGCCGCGGCGAGCAGCGTGCCGCACTCCGCGGCCAGCTCGCTGTTGTGCGCCAGCAACTCGGCCTGGCCCCGCCGTGGGGGGGGGCGAGGACCCAGAAACATCCTACGTTGTGCGGGACATCCCGAAGGGAAACTTCCCCCAGTGTCGGCTTCCAGAGGCCCTCATCAGGCCTCGGGGCCGTCAAAACCCGGCTCGGGATCAGAAACCGCTCCCTGGGAATAGGTCCAGACCTCTGTTGCCCAGGAACGTCCGCATAGCCTTTCTTCTTCTTCTTCTCCTCCTCCTCCTCCTCCTCCTCCTCTGCCTCCTGACTGACCGTTATCCTCCTCGCCCTCACGGCCGCCCTTCCTATCCTCCTCCTCATCCTCCTCGTCCTCGTCGTCTTCCTCCTCCTGGCCCTCCATCTCCGTTTCCACCCGCCTCCCCGCCGCGGGGAGGGCGGAAGGGAGGGGAGGGGGTCCGTGGAGGCTTTCCGCCGCTGTCGGCCTCCAGGGGGGCCGCTGCGGGCCCCGGGACCGTCGAACATCGAGCGGGGGTGAAGAGCCGGCCAGGATGGACTGCGGGAGGGATCCGGGGAGCTGTTTGGAGCGGACTTCGAGCGAGGAGGCGGCGGCCCCTCTCTGTTCAACGCACCTGCGCCTGGAGGTAAGGAGGCGAAAGGGGGGCGAAACCACTGGCACTTGCCCCACTCGTCAATGTCATCTGCGCGCGCTCTCTGCCTCCGCCGCCCCTGGCGGCGAGGAAGTCCCCCGCCCCGTGCTCCTCCTCCACCTCTTTCGCCACATCAAGCTTCGCCTCTTTCTCCTTCATCTCCTTCACCCCTCCTCCGGATTATTGTTTCTTGCCCTTCCTTTCGCCCTTCTCCGCCTCCTCCTCCGCAGCGTAATGCTGGACACCTCCATGTCTCCTGACGTGGCCACGCCCGCCCTCCAGGTCGGGAGGGGGCGGCCCCCGGTAGATGGCCCCCCTGACCCCCGGAGGGGGGAAAAGGAAAGAGGAGACGACACGCGCAGCGCAGCGAGGGAGAGGGAGCCACCCAAGCCGCAGATGCACCCTTCCGACGGCGCAAGCGTCGTCGGAGGGGGGCATCCGCAGCACGGGCGGAGCCCGTGGGGAAAGCGCGCAGAGGTGCAGCTGGTTCTCCACTCCTCTCCTCGCCGATGGCTCTCCGCCTATCTCCTTGCAGTCCTGCCCCAAGTGACGTCGACGACGGCGGGGTTGTATGCGTCGACGACGGTGGCAGAGGCGGCAAACAGAGGCCACGCCGACGACGCGGGCGGCGAGGACGGCGGCGGACAAATGTAATCACGGCGGGTTCGTGTCGTGACGACGTCGGCACTGGCTGCAAACACCGCGTGGATTCATTAACCTTGAGCGATCACGGCTTCCTGGTAGCGCAGATCGTTCGATATCGGCCCATTCTGTGGCACTGGCGGTGTCGAACCTTGAACGTCCGCGCTGGAGTCGCCGAGCGCTAACGCGGCGCGAACCCATCGTACGAAGTCGACGTTGGCGGCGACGACGACGGCGGATGACGGCGTCGACGACGGCGTCGGTGGCGGAGATGGTGGTGACAACGGAAAGACCCTTGGACGCCTGGAGTGGGTACGGAAAGCATGGGCACGATGCCCAGCAACAAATGTAATCCAAAACCATTTGCGGTCGGTGTTGGGCAACCGACCGCCTGTCTCAAATGGATAACATCCGCGGGGACACCCAAAGCTCGAGTAGGGGCTCGACTCCAGAATTGAGTCACCCCAACATGAATTTGTACTATATAGAACGTACGAAGTAATACGCGTAATGCTTCGCAGGTCTGCGAATCATCGGTATTTCGTGGATTCGACGAAGAAATGCTACTAGGGGCAACTCAACTCTAGTCGATTCCCCACTCGAACATCGAGCCCAGTTCAAAACAGACAAGAACTGCTGTCGGTTTTCGTGCCATTCTCCCCGTACCCCTTTCCATCCTTCCGAGCAGCGGGCGAGCCGCCGGCGGCGGCGTGGCGTCAGGAGGCAACTCCAGGGAGGCCTCCGCTGGAACGATGAACGGCGATTGAGCCCGATTAAGAAAAGAAACTCTTCGCCAGAAGAGGCCGCATTAAACCAGGGATTCAGACGGATGAAGCGGAATCAAGCGTGATTAAACTGGATTAGCAAAAATGATGCCGGCTATCGATCGCCAAAGTACCACCCTGAGATCCGATGTAGCGGAAAAAACAACATCGTAACACATCACGCCCAGAGCCCTAGACTCCATCTTTATGCATCATTGTTCGAGCCTGATCGGTCTGTGAGGGTCCCGGGGTCCGAAATGGAGCGAAAACGCCCAGCTCGGAAAAAAGTGCAACGCCACGATCTCAGGGTAAGCCGGTTATCGACCGTCAGAATACGTACCAGCGCCGAGACGAAATTTCAGCCTCCCAGGAGCTGCGTCCTATGGGCGGCGGGTGGCGGCGGCCACGGGCCTCGCGCGTCTCCGCGGCGCGCAGCCGCTCCGCCAGCGAGCCCCGCTCGGCCAGGCGCTCCTCGCGAGCCCGCGCGCCCGCGTCGGCACGCCGATCCTGCGCACCCGGCGCTGCTCCGCGTCGTCGTCGGCGTCGTCGGCGTCGTCGTCGTCCTCGTCGTCGACGTAAACGTCGTCGTCGTCGAGGTCGTGAACAACTAGTCAGGATGAAAGACAGGTCCCGGGGAAAGGGTCGGGACGTCAGGCGGAGACGGGGGTGCGGCTGAGGGGTCTGCGATGCCCTCCCTCCCTCCCTCCATCTCTGAGATCATACGTAGCGAAAAAATGACAACATCGCAAATGATCACGCCCGGAGCCCTGGACCCCATCTTACTGCGTCATTTTTCGAGCCGGATCGATCTGCGATGGTCCCGGGCCCGAAAAAAAATGCGAAAACGCCCAGCTCGAAAATATCGGAACGCCAGGACCTCAGGGCTTTCTTCCTCCTCCCCCTCCTCCTCCTCCTCTTCCTCCTCTTCCTCCTCCCCCTCCTCCTCCTCCTCCGCCTCCTCCTCCTCCTCCGCCTCCTCCTCCTCCTCCTCCTCCTCCTCCGCCTCCTCCTCCTCCTCCTCCTCCTCCTCCTCCTCCTCCTCCTCCTCCTCCTCCTCCTCCTCCCCCCTGTCCTTAGAGCCCTCCTAGATGAGGTCGGAGTATGTCGGGTCGGAAGATCTCGCCGCGTCGCCGACACATCGGCGATGCATCGGCCATGCACTGGCGACGTCGGCGATGCATCGGCAATACATCAACCCGCATCGCTGATGCATCGGCGATGCGGTGCGATCCTTCGACTCTATCTGCTCCGACCCCATCTGGGAGGCCTGGAGTCCTCCACCGCCGCACCCGGACCTCTTCTCTCTGTGGCCAGAGAGCGCGGCAGAAACGCCTCGCCTCTTTTCTTTTCGGCCTTGGGGGCCCTGCCTGGGCTCCGCGGCCGTCCGGAGCATCCCTCGGGATGCAGAGCCAGTCACGCGGTATACAACAGGTTCGTGTCGTAACGACCCGGGCGTTGGTTTTCCTGTCACCGCGCGCGCGGGGACGATCGGTTGTTTCCGAAGCGTCAGGTCGTTCAACCTAGCCCATTTCTGGGTCGCCATTGGCATTCCACGTTGAACACTGACGGCGGGGTCGCCGCCGGTCGACACGACCCGAATCGACCGTAAAGGTCCAGGCCACCGGTGGTTCACGCGGTGACCAACAAGCACGGCGTCGGAGATCTGGGGCTGTCGGCGTCGGCGTCTGCCGTCGTGGTCAGTCGGCGAGCGGCGGAATTCCGTCGCCCGAAGCCCATCGTGGTCGCTGTCCGTCGTGGTCGTGGTCGTCGCAGCCGCCGTCGGGCATGGTAGAGAACGAAACACTGCATCAACATAAAATGTCCTAGCTCCAGGCGGATTTCCTGGATCGGAGCCAGAAGCGCCGCCAAGGGGGGCCAACACGAATCAAGAAAATCCGCGCGGAACTCCGAGAGTCTGCGTTCATGTTTTTTGTTTCCTCTTCGAAACGCGGTCATCGCAGCCGCCGTCGGGGATGTGCAAGGACGCGGTCGCGAACGACGACAGCGGCGACGGCGACGGCGGCGGAGGCGACGACGATCTGGGCCTTCGGAAGTAAGCCCCCATGTCGGAGGCCCCCGCGCGTGCCCAAATAATTACTTGGAGGGGAGCGAGGGGGCAGGATGAGTCAGCATCGAATCGTGGGATGCAGACGGACATACCAGTACTATGTGTCCTCCTCGGAGGCGTGCGTCCGAGCCGAGCACACAGTGTAACCATCTTGTAGTATATCGTTTCCCGAGCGGGATGGACAGAAAGCGCCCGCTACCGATCATATGCTAGAAGATTTCTCGGTGCGCGCGTCGCCCCCCAGGGGGCGATGCACACATAGAATTCAGGTGACGCCGAGATGAGTCAGCATCGAATGGGGAAATCTCAGGGGGACGTAAGACCTGGGTACAGTGGACTCGGAAATCCCCGACGAGGTGGTCAAAAATGACGAGGCCGAGCCTGCATTTTGACGAGGCCTCCCGCTGCAGACATCCCACGAAACTCCTCCTCGTCAAAATCCGAGGCGCGGTCGTCAAAAAACGATGGCGAACCCGAGTCCTGGCAAACCCGGGTCTTACGCTCCCCCGAAAATCTGATCGAATTGAAACCTACGTCGGACCGGCCGCGCCAGGATGCATTTTTTGCTGCCAGAGGGGAGCGAGAGGGGGCAGCGATTCCGGGAGCACCCAGAACTCCGACGCTTTCACAAATGGGCCCTCGCGCGTCTGGACCACCTCCCAAATACGGTCGGACCTGGGACAGAAAACACATCCATGAAGAACATGAGACCCTCCGCCGGCCCAAACTGATGATCACTCGAGGGTACCCTCCCCAACGCCCTAGGCCGTTCAGGACGATTCCCCCCCCATCTCCCCCGGGAACGCTCTTGGCGAGGCGCAGCCGCTGGAACGCATCCCGAGGCCCGAGGCGAGAAAACGTGCAAGTACCAATGAACATGAACTTTCGGAGGTCCGCGCTGACTTCTGTTGGATCGGCGCTGTACCTCCTTCCTGGCGCGCTCCGCGCGCCAGGGGCGGCGCCAGGGGCGGCGCCATAGGCCTTCAGAGCGGACGTCGGAAATCCACGCGGACCTCCGAGAGTATGTGTATGTAGTTTTTTCTTCTTCGAGCTCAAGGGGCCCGTTCTTGTTGCTATCCGGGACAACGCCCGCTACTGCCCCCCAGTAAAATCACGACTCGCGCTGGCGCCGTCCGGGAGTTAGCCATCGCTAGGCATTCCTAAGCAGCACCGACGCGAATCGTGACGCGACGGGCCCCCATCCTGGTCTCGCCCGTTATCGCCAGTGGATTGTCCGAAAACTTCCAGACTTCGGCGGGAGCGAGACCACGGAGCCAGGCGGGGAGCTCCAGCGCCCCCTGCAGCTCCGCCTCCAGCCGCCGGCAGCGCAGCTCGAGCTCCTCGCGCAGCCCGCGCAAGGCGGCGACCGAAGGATCCCACGGGCCCAGCAAGCCGCGGTCGGAAAACCCGTACCTCCACCTCCTGCTCCTCGTCCACCTCTCATTCATGCTCCTCCTCCTCCTCCTCCTCCTCCTCCTCTTCCTTCTCCTCCTCCTCCTCCTCCTCCTCCTTTCCTTCTCCTCCTCCTACTCCTCCTCCTCCTTCTCCTCCTCCTCCTCCTCCTCCTCTTCCTCTGCTTCCCCCTCCTCCTCCTCCTCCTCCTCCTCCTCCTCCTCCTCCTTCTCTTCCCCCATCTGCTCCTGCTCCTGCTCCTCCACCCTCTCATGTTCCTCCTCCCACTGTGATAGAAATACCTAGGGAATAACAATTTTGCAAATTTTGGCCACCAAGGTAACACGAAGACAAGACAGGGACAACATCGGACCGAGACAAAATTGGGATCTCTGAGATCCGGGGTGCTCTGGAGGATGTATCAGGCGTCGCGGCCTTCTCAGAGCGCTCCGGAACTCTCTGAGAAAGCTTCCCCTCGCTGCGAAAATCCACCGACCCTGTCGGCGTTTGTGAGACGTTTTTCCGTTTGACTCGTCGCCGTCGCTGCTCCCCTTTTCTTCTTGAGTCGTCGTCGTCGTCGTCGTCGTCGTCGTCGTCCCCCTTTCCCAGGGTCCTCCTTCTCAAGCGATCCAGCCAGACAGAAATCGAACAACGTCGTAATGGAGTAGACAGGGGACCCCAGTAGAGAGAGCGTGATCCACCGCCGCTTTACTGTGGGAAATTGCCACCCTTTTCCTCCGGAACTCGGGGTCCCCCCCCCCCGAAAATCCCCCCCCCCCCTGCTGGACCCCCCCCCCTCTCCCCGGCAACCCCCCCCCCCCTCCCCTAACCCCTCCCCCACCCACCCCTCTCCCCCCTCGAAAACCGGGGGGGGTCACTACCGGTTCGAACCCCCCCCCCACCCCCCCTCGAAAACCGGGGGGGGTCACTACCGGTTCGAACCCCCCCCCTCGAAAACCGGAGGGGGTGGTCACTACCGGTTCGAACCCCTCCCCACCCCCCCCTCTCACCGCCAGCAAACGACTCCCGGTCCCTACTACTGTCCTGATCACATCCCCCACTGTTGTTCCCAGCAACACTGTCCTCACCACCACTGTCCCCACTGGTTCCACCACCGCCCCCACTTTCTCCCAACCAGTGCCACCACGACTATCCCCACAGCTGTCCCCACTGTCCCACTGACTCCTCCGCTGTCCCACTGAGCTGTCCCACTGTCCCCACCACTGTCCCCACCACTGTCCCCACTGTACTTCTGTTTCATTGTCCCACCGCCGTCCTCGCCACCGCCTTCACCACTGTCCCCACCACCACTGTACCCTCCACTGTCCTATTGATTCCACCACATTCCCAATCCCCACACCACTGTCCCCACCACCACCGTCCCCACCACTGTCCCACTGTCCCCACTGTTCCCACCATTGTCCTCACCATTGTCCCCACCACTACCGTCCCCACCACTGTCCCACTGTCCCCACCACTGTCCCGCTGTCCCCTCACCACTGTCCCCACCACCACCGTCCCCACCACTGTCCGCACCCCCCCTCGGTTTTCGAGGGGGGGGGGTTCGAACCGGTAGTGACGCCCCCCGGTTTTCGAGTTCGAGGAGGGGGGGGGTGTTCGAACCGGTAACGACCCCCTCCCCTTTTCATGTTCATGATGAATTTGGGGGGGGGGGGTTCGAACAGGTAGTGACCCCCCCGGTTTTCCGGGGGGGGGGGGGAGGGGTTCGAACCGGTAGTGACCCCCCCCGGGTTTTCCGCAGCAGCGGTAGAACACGCTCTTTCCTTCTATTTGGTCCACCCCCCACAAGGAGGCGGGGTCCCAAAGGGGGGTCGCCAGGAGTGTCCAAGGGAGGATCCTGGGGTGAGGGTCGCCTGGGGGTCCTAAAGGGAGGGGGGGTCCGCCTTACGGACATGGGGAAATCAGGGCCCCCCCCCTCCCGCTCTCGCCCCCTGGCCCCCCGTGCGGACATGGGGACACAAGGGGTGGTCTCCCCTGTGGATCAGGGGAACGCCATGCTCCCCCACTCCACGCCTGGTCCCCCTGTGGACGTGGAGGGGGGGACAGGCGAGTGGTCCCCCCCGGTGGACAAGGGGAACTCAAAGCTCCCCCAACCTCCCCACTTCCTCCCCTGCCCCCCCCTGCTGACAATGGGAGCACGGGAGCGGCCCCCCGCTTAGGTTAACGTTGGTTCTGGGTTGTTTTCGCTGGTCGTGTGTGAATGCAACACACGTGTTTGTAGACGCACCCAACGTTGTGACTCCATTAATATAGCTACGGCCACACACTGTTAACAATGTTCAACCGCGTATAACCACGCTCATGTACGAAAACACATAATATCACGGCATAAGCGGCTAACCTGCTAGCATCACTCTTGCAACTGTTCCGTGCTGTTGTACGCATAGTTGCATGTATTGCTAAACGCATTCACCTCAAGATGAAGACATCTCAACGATAACACCTGAACCACGTTACATTGCAACCTGGGCTCGCAGATTTTCAAGACGCGTGCTGAAGCTGCATGGTTTAACATGGCGGAACATGATATCAGCGACACCGTTACGAGTGCTGGAAAAAACGTGCACTGTGCTTTATAGGTTTCGCAGGCCTGACCATGTACAAAGGAAAAACATGTAGCATGTGTCTTGGACCCGCAACCTTGGATATTGAGCTTAGACAGCGCTCAAACATCTGTTGTCAGCGCCGCAACTCTGATCATGATGAAGGACGTACGACTACTTCGAATGTCGCTCGGCCCCGCATGTCCCAGCGTTGAACGCCATGGGTTTACCGAGACGTGCCCATGTCCGCTGCGCCGCTGGCTTCTTCACTTATGAGCCCCAAGGCGTAGCGTGTTGTTTTTTGCCGCTATGCGGGTCTATTGTTTGCTGTTTCTGCTGGTTGAATAGTTGCGTTTCAGGGGCGGGAAAGAAGGAGACGTGATGCGATACCAAATGGATGGGAAGTATGGGGGAAGGGGGGCGGCATACGCAATGCTTGGGCGGGGCCATAGAGGGCGGGGCGATCGCGAGCGAGCCCGCCGACCTGCAGCTCCCGCGCGATCGCCCCCACCATTCGCGCGACTGCGTTGGGCTGCAGCTCGCATCGCTGACAACGAGCAGCTGCAACTATCTAGGCAATCGAGGTTAGGTCCTGCGCAACTGCTCGCGGCGCAATGGCGGCGCCCGCTTCGAAGGGTGAGTTTACCTCCATTATGCGCATGAGCACCGCGAAGGGTACCTTGGCGCTAGGGCGGAATTTGATGCGCGCGCGCTTGGCGGAGCTTGGCCTTGCGAGCCATCTGCGGGCTGTTCCTGAGCCCTGGCGCCCCCGCAGGTCCACCCATGCTAATTGCGTTTTCGCTGCGCACCAGGGCTGCGGCCCACACGCGCAAAGCGCAGCGCGCACGTGGCGCCCGTCTTAGGGCCTCGCGGACAATGCGTATACGCGCGAAGAACCGCAGCGTCACGATGATTCGCCTATGCGAGTGCCATGAGCATGGCAAAAATGTTTCCACTCGGCTGCAGCTTACCGCGATTGCGGCGGCTGCGAAAACGTCGCCGAATCGGGGCGTTAATATCTTACGCGCGTCGGCGCTTTGCTGCGGCGAGCGGCGGATTCAAAAGTGAGCTTTCGTGGGCAGACGCGTCAAATTGCACGGCGGTGGAGGCGTCGAAAACTAGATGCCCGACTGGAGGATCTGCTGCGGGCCAGCTCTGCAGGAGGGCGCGGTGCGCCTGTTCACGATGGGAGACAACCACGCCAATGCCTTCTGCCGCGCCATGGACTCGGGATGCAATGCCCATCTAAGGAGCTCTGCAACGCGGGGGGCAAGCATGACATTGCCAGTCTCGCCGACCAGCCATACTCTGTGGACCCCGTCACGAACGGCTTCAAGTTCTCCGCTCGCCATGTTCGGCGGCCCCGCCGCCCCGTCGTTGCCGCGCGTCGCCGCGTGCGTTGCGTGACGTGTGATATGGGGGCCGCCAGTTGGTAGTCTCGGCGCGGCCGCCCCGTGGCCATGTGCTCCAGCGCTGCATGTCTGGCGGGTCTCACAGGCGTTGAACGTGGAGGCGAAGGGGGATGAGACTCAGATCTCCTGCGTGCTACGTGTGCAAGAGCAGGTGCCGGCGCGGCGCAGCCACTGGAAAGCATCCCGAGGCGAGATTCTCGGGGAACCAACACAGATGCTGCAAAACTTCCAGACCTCGACGGCCCAGAGATCCTTGACTGTGACTGGACCCCCGTGGCGTTGCAAGCAAACCCAGCATCGAATCGCGAAGTCGGATCGGCGCAACGTGTGCGTCAAATTGGGCTGCATCGGCATGGGGTCGGAATCGAATCGAATCGGCATGACCAAGATGCACAACAAACCCATGCAAACATTGGGCCGTACTGAACGGCGAACAGAAACGGGTCTTACGCAAGAGCCATCGCCACCTCACGCGGTGGCCAAAGCGGGCCGCCAGCGTGGCACACCGCGTGGAGAAGCGGGCGCTTTCGCGCGACCATTCGCGGGAAGCTTACGCCCAAATGTCCGCGCGCACACCTGATCGTAAGAAAATCGAAATCGATTCGGATCGAATCGTCCGAAATCGATACCGAGTCGGATCGATCGGATTGAAATGGACCCTGCGCTGCCCCTGGAAAAATACTCCTCGCGCTCGGCGGCGGCGCTAGCGCCCTCTTGGCGTCGCAGCAGGCGCTCGGCGTGAAGATCTCTCAGCAGCTCCTGCGTCGGCGCTCCAGGCGCGGTCGTGGCCGTCGGCGCTGTCGTCAGCGTCGTCGTCGGCGTCATGGTCGTTGCCGTCGTCGTCGGCATCGCGGTCGGCGCCGTCGTCGAGGCCGTTGTCGTCGCCGGTGTCGTGGTCGGATCCGCCGTCGACGTCGTGGTCGTCGCCGTCGCCGTGGTCATCGCCCTCGGGTTTGTGATCAATGCTGCCGCCGTGATTGTCAGCGTCGGCGCCGGCACCGGCTCGGTCATCGTTGGCGTCGTCTTCATCGGCGTCGGAGTCGTCATGTTCGACGTCGGCGCTCGCGTTGGCGTCCTTGTCCTTGTCGTCGTGCGCCAGCCAGAGGAAGCGAGGAGGGGAAATGGAGGACGACGGAGAACAGAAAACAAGGGATCATTGCTGCGCCGATACGCAACACGCAACACGTAACGAATGGACACGGAACTCAACACGTAGGTCTGGCGCGATACGTTCGCCACAACGTGGACCAATACGTTGAACCAACAAGCAACGTATTGACACGGATGTTTTGTGCACGGTACGTGTTGGTCCCAAAACGGGCGTACCGAGGCAACTCACAAGGGGAATCATGCGGCTGCCGTAGGAAGGCCAAAAGACAGAGCGAGGGGGCGTTCCTGGCCTGGTTGTGAGACGAGCCGGGACAAGGCTCAAGAAGAAGAGAGAGGCGGAGAAGGAAAGGGGTGAGGATAAATAATCTAGGAGGCGCAAGCCGTTCCGACCTCGAGCACGGCGCCAACAGCGACCTCGACCTCGACGGCCACGACGATGGCCTCGACGCCGACTCTGGCCTCGACGCCGACGCTGACCTCGAAAAACCAGTCCTGCGACGCCGGGACTTCTTCGTTGTGTAGACTCCCCAGAGGTCTAGACCAGGAGAGGAGAAAGAGGCAAGCGAGGCGCGATCGCGCCATATCTGACTTCATACGCCTCCCTCCAATCCCGTACCATGGCATAGATCTCCAATCCAAACTTGCCGAGAACACGGAAATGGAGCCAAGGTTGAAACAGAAGCGCCATTGTGGAAGAGCTGGAAGTGCGGAAATAAAACTGATAATGAAACGAGATCGTATTTTTTGGAAGACCGACACCAGCTGGATTGAAGAAAGAGGAGCGGAGGAGGATAAGGAGGAGGATGAGGAGGATGACGATGACGAAGGTGACGATGAGGGGAAGGAGAAGGACCCATGAAAATCCAAGACGTATCAAAGATGCTGCTTCAAACCGTCCCTCCACGCTCCCTACTCACAATCCCCACACGAATGTATTCTCATTCCGGACAATGCCCCATTGGAAGACAACCGTTTCAGAATCTTCACCCCTGCCAAAACACAGTTCCTAGGACATCAGCACTTCGAATCAACGTGACTGTCTCGTCCTGGAAATCATAGAAAATCGTAGATCGAGCCAAATCACAGTCCCTGGGACTTCAACACGCTGCACGAACCCTCGAAAGTGTTTCCAATATTCTGAAACGATGTGCGCGGCGCATAGGCGAGAACCACATTTTGAAAAGAAACCGCCCTCCATCCTTGAAATTGCTGCGAACTCTTAACACGAATGTGCGCGACTAGTGCGAGAAACACATGTTGAACATGAACCGCCCTCCATGCTTGAAACCACTGCAAACTCTAAGACGAATGTTCGCGGCGCTTATGCGAAAACCACCTTTTGAACACGAACCGCCCTTCATCAATAGAACTGCTGCACGATTATACGAAACCTATACGCGGCGCTGAGGCTCCATCCGTGAAACAATGTCAAACTGTTATCACACATGTGCGAAACGCTGAAGAAAGAACTACATGTTGAAAACGGCCCGCCCCCCCAACCGTGAACGGTTGCAAATTTCAAGCTTCAAGATCACAAATGGGGAGGATGTCTCAAGTGAAACGCCCCGACCGCCCCACCGACGCGCCTGGGAGTGCGGCAAGGAGGAGTTATTGATAAGGAAAAGGCATGGAGGATGAACAAATTCAAGGTGGTGGACGAGGAGATTCTGCGGGACCGGTTTTCCTTCTGAATCGTTCCATGACGGCCCTGGAACCCGAAAACGGCCCCCCGGGAGGCTGGGAACGGAGAACGGATACCTCCGCTCTCTTCCTATAAACACGCCTGGCGTCTGGGGATCGCGCCGACGACGCCGACGACAGCGGTGGCGGTGGCCAAGATCGGCCAGCATCGAATCGAGAAGTCGAGTCGAACCTGACTGCGTCGAATAGTTACCAGAACCAGAAGTATCCCAAGAACGAAGTCCACCGGATTTGGTAATCAACCAGACACTGATATTACGGATGTTGACGAACAGCTGCATCAGGACTGCCCTCCCCCTCCCCCTCCCCTTCCCCCTCCGCCTCCCAGCAACGACACGACTGCAATCAAAGTGGCGTCATGGAACGTTCGAGGACTTAATGATACGAAAACTATTGAAATTATATCGCATATGGACAAGCGTGGCATTGGCATTTTAGCTCTACAGGAAACCCGCCGCGCAAAAACAGAAGTTTACGAGGTCGACGGGTACAAGATTATCCTGTCCGGCGAAGACACAAATGAGCGTACTTGGACAGGCGTTGGATACATCATTTCACCAGCAAGCCGACGAAGAGTCAAAGCATATAAACAAATATCAGGCAGACTGGCTTGGCTAAAGATCAAGACTGGCATGGGGGCGCTGGCCATTATCACCGGATACGCGCCTCACAACCTCACGCCGCTCCATGAAAGACGCGATTTCTACACAGCGTTGGATTCGACATACCGGTCGTGCAATGCCGCCGCTGGCAAACTCATCATTGGCGACTTCAACGCCAGAGTGGGGAAAGCCGATCCAGGAGAAGACGCAATTTTGGGAGAGTTTGGATGGGGACGTCGCGCACAGCACGAAGTTGAGCAGCCGAACCGGGATCTGATGATGGAGCTCTGCACGAGTGGTGACCTACAAATTGTGAATACATTTATATCGCAGCCATTGGAAGAAAAAGTCACGTTCATGGAAGCGGGTGCCCTGCCAATGGGGGACATAGCAGAAGACAGCTACAACATTTTGGACTTACTATTATGTGACGCACATTTGCGGCATCAAGTCGTTGCGCTACGAAGTCATCGGGAAGCGGCCCTGGCCACAGGCCATTATTTGGTTGTGGCAGACATGGCTATACAATATTCCATACAGAAACCGCGGGAAACGGGACGGCCGAACAGAAATGGCATGCAAGACCCACGAGTACTGCAGGCATATGTGAGCAAATTTATGGGGACGATTTCATCGTTTCCTGGGCCGCCGGCTGATATTCAAGACATGTGGGAAAGAGGAAAAACAGCAACGCAAACTGCTGCCAGCGCGCTCCCGACGCGCCAGGAGGAGAGCATCAAGCCATGGATTACACAACGCACTCTTGATCTAATTCGCCGCCGTACCGAGGCCCGAGAGGCCAACGACATAACCGAGGAGAGAAGATTGATGAAAGCGGTGCGCAACGCGTGCAAGCAAGATGAAACAGTTTGGGTTGATGAGCAAATTTCGACAGGCAGCTGGGACGCTCTGAAAAAGCATTGCCGGCCTAAGCCACGACGCCAAGGGAGGCTAAGAAATATGAGTGGGGAGTTAGTGGACAACACACAAAGAGCAGAGACAATGGCTGAGTACCTGGAGAAAGTGCAGTGGAAAGTACGGACAGCAGAGCTTCTAGACGTCTCACCTGGAGATCCATTGCCGGCTTCGGAAGCAAACTTTACGAAAGAGGAGGTTGGCAAAGCAATCAAGCAGCTCAAACGTGGCAAAGCATCTGGTGTCGACGATATCCCAGCAGAGTACTGGAAGGCTATTGCTACAGACCCAGGCGGACTGGAGTGGATTACAGACCTGTGCAACACATGTTGGAACGAGGAGGCCGTGCCGGACGATTGGAAGAAATCGATTATCTCAACGATATATAAAAACAAAGGTGCCGTCGACAACTGCGACAACGACCGCCCTATCAGCCTCCTCTGCGTCGCGTACAAGCTCATAGCTAGTCTTATTCTTCGGCGTCTACAAAACGCAGGGGCAGAGGACAAATTATCGCCAACGCAATTTGGTTTCCGACGAGAGCGCGGGACATCGGATGCTATACACGCTGTTCGCCGGTATATTGATTTGGCTTACGCAGACAAACAAGGAGGTATTGCATTTGTCGCTTTGGATTGGAAGAAAGCTTTCGACTCGTTGAACGTCGAGGCGCTGCTGGAAGCTTTGCACAAATTTGGAGTCCCTCGGCGCGTCCTTACAATTATTGGCCACATCTACGAGGGCAGAAAATTCAGCGTGGCGGATGGACGACACCGGTCATCAGAACGACAGCAATTATCTGGGATATCACAAGGTTGCCCACTTTCGCCGTTCTTAGTCATTATGGTAATGACGATGGTACTGCGGAGCGCCACACACCACGGAGACGCGGAAGTACGACGAGCTGTAGCAGACGGGTCCTTGAGTATATTGTTGTACGCGGATGACACCTTGCTCGCGGGTCGCAATCCACACCATCTACAAAGTCTGTTGCGCGCGATTTCTAAAGCAGGTGCACGAGTTGGCATGGAACTACATTGGGATAAATTTCAACTCATGCCGGTTCGTTGCGACATGTCGCTCTTGACGCCCTTCTGGCGAGCAAATCCCAGCAAAAGACACAATGGTCTACCTCGGGGCCACGCTTTCAAACTCTGGCCAGCTGCGCGGGGAGTTGGGAAAGAGGTTCGGAGCCGCATGGGGTGAGTTCTGCAGACACAGCCGCGCCTGGAAGCATGCGGCAATCAGTACTACCAGAAAGCTTCAAGTATTTCAAGCGCTGGTGACTAATAAGGTCATGTATTCGCTGAATTCGGCATGGCTCAACAAAGCTGAACGCAGAAGATTAGACGGTTTCCAAGCGAGGTGCCTACGTCGAATCCTGCACATTCCTCACGCATACATTTCAAGAGTATCTAACGAACAAGTGCTCTTGCAAGCAGGCCAACAGCGCTACACAGTGCAACTTCTGAGGCATCAGCTGTTGTGGTATGGGAAAGTATGTAGGGCGACAGACTTTGATTTTCTGCGCCGCCTCACCTTCCAACCCGGAAGCGCGCGGCCAGCTACAGACGCATGTGCCCGAGCACGAGGCCGGCCAAAAAATGCATGGGCGCAGTGCTTGTACAAAGTTGTCGCACCGCATTTTTCTTCGGACGAGGCAATAATGCAGCGCGTATGTATGTGAGCCAGCAGCCTGGCGCAGATTTGTGATTGATGTTGCGTGTCTCTCTCCTCCTCCTCCTCCTCCTCCTCCTCTCAACCCTTGTCCTCAAGCAGCGCACGGTGTGAATTAAGAGGCAGCCGACGTGCAGCCGCCCCCGCAAAGCGGTGAGCCTTGGCTGGCATGGTCCTCTTTTGCCCACGCGCTCTGGCGTATGGCATTTCGTTCGTTCGTTCGGCACGGTCGCGACATCGAACCACATCTGCGGCTCCATGATGAACAACGGCTCCGTGGAAATCACCGACCGCCTCGAATTATGGGACAACCGGAATCGGATCGGATCGGGGCCACCGAGATTGAATAACAACTCCGATGGATCGGGTCCAAATAGACCCTGGCGGCGGCGAGACGACGCCAACGACGCCAACGACGATAGCGGCGGCGGCTGCGGCGTAGGGGGTGGGATGATGGAGGATCGATGGGGGAGCGAGGGGAGGAACGAGGGAGGAAGAGAAATTGAATCACGTGTTCGACACACGGGGGGTATCTCGGCAACGAGTCGGGAAGCGCCACCGAGCAACACCGCTGGAACAATGCCGCGCAGTGAATGGCGCGGTGGTGGGTGGTGTTGCGTAGCTATGTAGCTCTGGCGAGCTTTGATTTATAACTTCCGACCAGCTTCTTTGGATCGTCCACGGGGAAGCTTGCGAGGAGGAGGAGGTAGGTAGGTACAGTCAGCGTGCGACCATAGGGGAACGCAGAAGAAGTAACAAAGGAGCTTTTCTCGCCATGGCGACCCTCGGCCACGAATGGGTCTCTCGATCTAGATCTAAGGAACGGCGCGGAAATTGTAGCGCCTCCCGAGCTCAAGGCGCCGTGAGTCTTGACTGCAGGTGTTCGGTAGGAGACCGCGAGTCTCTCCTCAGCAACTGGAGCTACACTAGAGGGCCCTTCTGTTCTGTCTGGGAGCTGGGCCGCCTGACAGAAGCTCGAATCGGCATGCGAAGAACAGTTTGAGCGAGGAGGAGGGCGGTGACAACAGGAGGAGCATAAAGAGGCAAGCGGGCAGAGGAGGAGGAGGAGCTCCTCCGCGCTAGCGTCCCTGGCGCGCAAGACCCGCAGCAGCCCGCCAGGGCTCTCCTCGCTGGGAAGGCTCTGTAGCGAGGCTGGCAGCCGCCGCGGGAGGGCGGGCCCGGCTCCGCAGTGGGCAGACGGCGGCGGGGACGAGCCCAGGGCCCTCCGCGGTGCGAAGACACCACACTTGGCGACAAAAGGACAATCACGATGAGGGCCACGGCGGGGGGTCACGATGCGACGGGCGGCCACGAGATGGGGCTACGACAAGGGGGTCGGGACAAGGATACGGGTAGGGACGTGAGGCTAGGGATCCGCCGGCCCCCTGTGGGGCCATGAGACTGCGCGGCTCAGGTGTCCATCTCCGTGTGCTTCAGTGTTCAGTCCCCAACGCTATGATACTATTTCCTGCTTCCTAAAGTGAACGGTTCCTGTCCGCGCGGCAGAGCGCGGGGAGCATTCGAAACGGGCGGGGAGCATTCCCAAACATGTAAAACAGTATGGAATACTAGCACCAGCATCTCAATCTATGTTGTTGATTCTTATCCGTCATCGCATGATGTTCCTTAATGTCTTTAAGACGGCGCCCAGACACCCCGTCACTTTTTTACAAGCACGAGAAGGTCGCCCCGCGGCTAGGGAAAGAAGAGGGAAGCAGCAGGGGAGGAGAGAGCAATGGGAGAAGCAGCAGCAGTAGTGCAAGCGGGCCCCAGCAGTCGGCCGCCGCGACCTGCCGCCCAGACACCCCGACACGGCTCCAACATTCTTCATTCTGACAGCGCGGGGGCCGGCGGCAGAGTGCGAAAGCCGTACGGACATGGGGCTGGGCATTGCGAGCTGAGTATTTAGAAATAAACACCAGGATATGTCGAACAGGGATAAGGACAGAAAGGACAGGGATAGGGATGGCAACGGGACGCTACGAGAGGCCACCGGAGGCAATGGGAGGCAACGGGACGCCAGACGGTGAGGACAGAGATCGAACTTCCTCGAGAAGGGGCTTAACTAAGAGAGCCTCCCAGACTGTGCCCCCCCTCCGAGACTGTGCCACCCCCAGACTTCTTGCTGGACTACAAATACCTCCGCGAAATATAAGATGCCCCCCCCCCGAATTACAGGGCGCCCCTGATACAATCTACAAGATCCCCCCGCGGACTGCAAGCACCCGTCCCAGGACTAACTACAAATACCATTGCCCATCCACACCGCAACCCACGCGCCGAACCGAACCGATCAGAGAGTGTCCAAAAAGGCAACACCGACATGGCAATCTTTTCAGGCCCTTCCAAAGGAAGATTCAGGGCTACGGCTCGTCGCATGGAGCAAGCGACGCAAAAGCTCAGCAGGCGACTGGGACGCTCAGCACAGCGGAGGTGAAGAGCTCCTAGAGTTGTAGCCCTTTGAAGAACATGGTGAGCTGGCAAGAGCTCTCACCTACTATAAGCGACAACCTCCATACGCGCGTGCGCCCATCCGCAATGTCACTTTACAGCGAGAAAGAGCGGGTGCACTCGGACGGCTGGGCGCTGGCCGCAGTGTGGTCGTCAATGCCGAGAAGGCCACCAACTGGAAACCCGGCACGGGCAAGGTGCTTGGCAAAGACGTTGAGGTAGTCTGTACCCTGCTGAGTTTTGCCATGCACTACCTTTAAATCAACCTTGCCGAAGCGCATCCAAGTCATGCTACTGGGCATGCCGAGCGTGTCACCGTTCGCGAAGAACCGCATTGCTTCTGTCTTATTCGTCCAGGCCCCAGATATTGTCACCATCTGGAAATACACGTCAGCGCACTGGTCGCCCATGCGTGTGGCGTCGGCCTCCAAGTGCAACAACGCGCTACTGCCGCTGCTCCATCGCGGAATCTGCAAGAGGACGTTTTTGCCTGTCCGGTAAAGATCAAACCGCTCGCCGTACATGTTAGTGAGGTGGGGGTCGCCCAAGCCGGAGACAACGCCAGAGGAGTGTGTTCCCGCCGACGACGCCATTGGCAATGGTGAATGTGAAAGCGTGGGCGCTGACGTCGGTGCTGGCGTCGGCGCCTTTGTCGGTGCTGGCGTCGGCGATGGTGACGGTGATGGCGTCGGTGCTGCTGTCGGTACTGGCGTCGGCGCTTTTGTTGGTGCTGGCGTCGGTGCTGGTGTCGGCGATGGCGTCGGTTGCGGCGTCGGTGCCGGTGTCGGTGATGGCGTCGGTGCTGGCGTCGACGCTGGCGTCGGTGCTGGCGTCGGTGATGGTGACGGTACTAGCGTCGGCGCTCGTGTCGGTGACTTCGTCGGTGCTGGTGTCGGCGCTGGCGTCGGCGATGGTGACGGCGATGGCGTCGGCGATGGTGTCGGCGCTGGCGTCGGTGCTGGTGTCGGCACGGGCGTCGGTGCTGGTGTCGGCGCTTTTATCGGTGCTGTCGTCTCCGCTGGCATCGTACACCTGGCCCGCGCCGAAGCTTCGCTGGTGTCTGAGACACTTACCTTGGCATAGCTCGCAACATCGATGCTGCAAACATGAATCCACATCGTGGCAGTGGGTATGGAGAACGTATCTCCCGCAGCCAATGTAGTCCACAACTCGGTCATCTGATTCGCATCGGGCTGGAAGTGCACATGAACGCGGTCAACCAGGACTAGACGTGCGCGACTGTAGATGTCGTATAGGTAAATATGGTCGGCCTCCCCCCCCACCCCGTAGAGGTTCGGTCCATCCGCCACACGAAAGGAAAGGTAGAGAGCACCCGCACCTGCTGTAGATGCCTTGTCCCCTATGCACTCATCGCACGGGAGCTTCATGAGCAAAAATCCTAAGAGAGAAACGTGCTGATACCTGTGATTGCAGCTCTCTTGTTTTCGCGTGCCTGGGCTTCCTCGGGGCCCGTCACCACGGCTGGACTCGCTTCGGAACTCTGGCCAGAGGGCGCACTGGGAGAGGTCCGGAGAGCAGTGGCATCTTTTGTTTCTCCTGCGCCTGGCCCGTCGGGCCCCTCGTTGAGAGGAGACAGGTCGACAGCCGTGGCCGCAGACCCCCGAGTGAACTCCACTGTCTCGGCGCCCGAGAGCCAACCGAGCCTGTATCGATGGACCACATTGGCGTCCGCGGCCCGCCACTCCCGCTGATAGCCCATGATCGCGTCGTCGAGGTAATTATTGAATTCTCCGGTCTGCAAGTAACCTCCTGCATGATGCATTCCCCACGAGTGCCCGACCTTGCGGGCAAGACTTGCTGCCGTAACCATGGGGCCTCGGACTTATCAGAAGAAGGACACCAAACACCCGAGACATAATACATATATTTTAAGCCTGGCCTGGCTAGAGGCCTGATCTTATCCATTCCCACTGGGTCATGGGTCTCGAGGGATGGGGGGAGTCCGAAAGTCCAAGACGCGGTGTAAATCTTGCCCGCAGACCTCGTGGACGATGGTTTGCCAGGTCTGAGCTGCGTGGTAGAACTGGGCAAACCCGTTCCACCAGCCGCTGGTCGGGGCATAAGCAGTGGCCATGAAGAGGTCCCCAGGTGCAAACACCAGCGTGTTTCTGTAGGTTCTTCTGCTGATCTGTGCCTGGTACGGCGCTGAGAAGTATACGCCCATCGTAAGAGAGGACAAACGATATCCCCAGGTTGCTGGATCCTGAGGCGACTCCATCTGGAGGAAGTCGACGTCAGAGGACTGAAGCCACATCTGGTGCCACGAATTATGGTACAGAGCATGGTTGACGCCTTGGGATCCGCTCACATTGGGCAGGAGTACGGGGTCGCAAGATCGCGCAGCATCGCCGATACATTGGCGGCGGCGTGATGGAGAAATCCTGTGTGGATCACGCAATTTCGATGCATGAACGATGCAGCGCGATCCTCCGACTCCATCTGCTCCGGACACATTTGTGCGGCGTTGACGCCTGGAACGTCCCAGAACATCCCCTGGACCTCTGAGAATGTCCTGTAAGGGGTTCGACCACCGTACGTCAAGTAGACGACGAGGATCGGGCCGTAAGCCCCCATGGGTGACACCATGGTGTTCGTTACTCCGGACGCGGAATCCGCCTCCGTGCCCTCTGGCACGTTGAGGCGTGGTAGAATGAAGCTGCCTAGTTGGGTTTCTGTAAATCTTCTCCGGGACCCCCTCTTCACGCTTCACACCATGCACCGCCCCCCCCCCCTTCCCACAGCTCCATACGCGGCCTGGCGCTCCACTGGCGCAAGGGATTCCAAGACGGCTCAGGAAGGCCACCAAGATAGCACTTGCCTCAAGAGGCACCCGACAGCTCACAAGAAGACCCGAAGAGGCACCAAAGGGGCCTCAGCTGGCGCAAGGGATTCCAAGACGGCTCAGGAAGGCCACCAAGATAGCACTTGCCTCAAGAGGCACCCGACAGCTCACAAGAAGACACGAAGAGGCACCAAAGGGGCCTCAGGAGGCCTCCACGACGTCAAAGAGAAGGCCATGAGGCCCTGCAAACGTGCATTCAAAAACATGTCGGACATTAATGTTTCCATGAGCTCAAGCTGGCCACATCAGAGCCTCAAGAACCCCCCCGAGACGGCCCAGTGCGGCCCAAGAGGGGGCCAACCGAGGGCAGCCTAAGAGAGCCCCCAGGACAGCCCCACGAGACTCCCCAGACGGAGAGAGGAGCCCAAGACGGCCCCCTTGGGGCCACGAGAGGGCCGCAAGAGAACCCGTAGAGGGCCCAAGACGGCCCAGGCAGCCCCCCAGTCGAGCCACTGAAAGATCAGAAAGGAGAGGGGCCACAGATCAGGGCCTTCGGTGCTCGAACCGTCGCCAAACAGTGCTCCGCTGGCACGGTGGAGGGACACGCCGCAAGCAACTGGATAGTCCGAACCGTCTTGATGTGTGTTCAGGAACTGATTGAACGACTGTTCTGCGCTCAAGGCATCGCTCGGCGGTTCCGGCGGCTGTGCGCCGGACGCAGCAGTGCGGCGGTTGTGCGACGGTGTAACGACTGGTCTGATTGGCAACGATCTATCGTGCTTTATGCCGACAGCGGCGACCGCGTTGCACACGCAAGCGGCTGCAAACACATTTGCAACTACAAAAGCCATCGAAGGCACAATGGGTATCGATTGGTATGGAGGAAACGCGTCCGGGAATAGTAGTATGAGGGAGTGTGTAAATTGCCAGAAAGGCTAAGAAGTGGAAGAGGTTCTTCCGCCACCTTGAGCCAGAAAAACTGACAACAACGGCAATAACGACGGTGCCGACCAGCCCGCGCATCCACGCACAAGGGGGGAGGAGGAAGGGAGGCAGAAGGAGGGAGGCGAGAGGGGTGCAGGAGGTATGAGAAGGGAGGAAGAGGGAGGAGGCGGGGGAAGCAGGAGGTGAGAATTGAGGAGCACGCTTCAGGGAGGAGGGAGGAGGGAGAGTAGTGAAGTGTAAGCCAGGTGCGCTCGCGCCACATCTGACATCCTTCCCCTCCCACCTATCCCTTTCCATTGTGCTGTTCTTTTCTATGTTAGCCGACGGGGACTGGAAACCCCTCAAAGAACCCCACTGTGTCATGCACAATCACGCAACGGAAGCTGCATACATTGGAGGAGGAGGTGGCGGATGAGCAGGAGGATGATCAGGAGGATGAGGGAGAGGAGAGAGAAGGGCGAGGGGGATGAGCAGGAGCAGGAGTGTGAGATGCAGACTGAGTAGGATGACCAGGGGAATGCGGGGGAGGCGAAACGAGCGGGGCGATACCAAGCACTCGAATCCAGAAAAGTGGCCCGCGCTGGGGCGATAGCGCCGTTCTGAACACTGGGAGCAAAACGCCGATCCAAAAATGAGGTCAACGCTGCAACGGGAACACCATTTTGAGACACCGGATGTTTCCGGTTGAGAAACCGAGCATCGGATCTGCCAGCGTTTGAAGTCCTGCGTGGGAAACAATAAGTTACGCGGAGGGGGGCGGGTCAACCTCCCTGGCCATCTTAGAGGGGAGAACGTGTGTTCCTGGAGGCCAGCCCGGAAACTCCAATGAAGGCGGGCTGGGGAGATCTGAACGGAACGGAGTGGGATCTCAAAGGAGACCTGCTGGAAGGCCGTGGAATGTGTCTGCCGTCGTGGGGCCATTTTAAGCGTGGCGCTGACCGTTGCCTGGGTCGTATGCCAGACAGCTCTATGGAAGGACACGCTGGGTCTCACTGAAGGGTTCGCAACGGACTTTTGGATGCATTTCTTGAGCTTCCTGAGCCATCCTGCGGCCTCTTGGGGGCGTCTTGGAGGGTTCGGGGGCTTCGTGAGCGCCTGCCGGCGGGCCTGCGGCCCTCTCGAGGCCTTGTAGGCATCTGCTTGGGGGCGTATGGGGCCGGTCTGAGAAAGCTCGTGGACATCGTTGGGAGCGCCTGGGGTTGGTGGAGCGGACCGGGCGTGCACCGATGTGTCGCGGATCCGCGAACTGATCGACGTCACACCCAACCAATGTCGCTGCAACCGAAACCGCAGAACTCACCCGCCGCAAGTGTTCGTGCGCCGCATCCGTGGGACCTGGAAGACGCAGCGGCATAAACTTACCCGTCCCACGTGTGCCCTCTGCCAGCCGAAGCGCTGTACGTCACTATCGACAGATTATTGTGCCCAGTATGTGCACCGACAATTGAACGGATCTACCTGCGGACATCGCGCTGCCGTCTACGCGCCGCTCTAGGGGTGGGAGTGGTTTTCTTTGCGGCTCTTAGGTCTTAGGCGCCGAAGACCCGACCGCACCCCCAGCCAGGACCCCCTGTATCACCAGAGTGGGGGCCCTGACTGGGGGTGGGGGTGGGTTCTGGTGCCCCCACCCACAGAATAAAGCCAAGCCTGGCGAACAGGCAAGCCCCACGCATAAACGACACGTGCACTTCTACACGGTGCCCCGCCGCGCGAGCCCACACGCCCAAGGGGACACGCCGGTAGGCACGCCTGGTCGAGAAGAAGCGACAGCTGGGCTGCAACGGTGCCGCCATCGTGGACCCTGGCGGCGGGCAGCCAGCCAGGGGCCTGCGGCGGTCAAGCTCAACCAGGGAAGTGCTGAGAGCAGATCAAAGGGCACCCCGATCTGGCGCGTGGAATGCGGAATGCTCAAACAGGGAGGCGGCCCAGAGCATCCAACCACGGCACGACAAACGCTCGACTGGGGAAACCACCCACGTTACGACACACGCTCGACCGAGGAGACAGCGGGGAGCGCAAGTCCCGCGGCCAAGTCGAGAGAGGGAGACAATGCAACGCCCCTGAGGCGACGAACACGGGAGAATCAAGCGTTGGTGTTTGCTGCCCGCGCGGGCGGCTCGAAGGCGGCTGCCCTGGCGCCGGCCAGCAGCGCCGCGGCGGTCAGCTGTGCCGCGGCGGCCAGGAGCCCGTCCGCGGTGCCGCCGCGGGCGAGCCAGGCGAACAGCGCCAGCTGTGCCGCGCACGCGACAGCCATCAGGGCCGCGGCCCACCAGAGCTGGCCGCCGAGCGCCAGCGCGAGCGCGGCCGCGCCGCACAGCACGCAGGGCGCAGCCCAGACGGCCTGCTCGCAGGAGTCCAGCAGCTTCACTGGGCCCGCCCACGCGCCACGCCGCCGCGCGGCGCGGGCCGCGGCGGCGAGGGCGCCCGAGAGAGCGGCGGCGATCCAGCAGGCGGCCCAGGTCGGCAGCCGGCCGGGCAGCGCCAGGACGCACGTCAGCAGGGCCCAGAGGCCCAGGGCCGCGTGCATCCCGTGCTCGCACGGATCTGGCGGCCCACCGGCGGGCGTGAGGCCCAGGTGCAGCAGAGGCAGCGCGGAGGCCGCCAGCCACAGCGCGGAGAACAGCAGGGTCCAGTCGCGCCACGGCGGCAGCTGCGAGACGGGGCCCGCCCAGGGCTCCTCAAGCACTGCGGGGAGGCCCCCTCCTGGGAACAGCGGCTCCCTGCTCCACCACTGCCCGCGCGCGAGCTGCGGCAGCTGCGAGAAGGAGTAGATGTGGGGCGTCGCTCGCACGGCGCGAGGGGGGCACCCGCCCCGAAACAGCAGCTCTGGAGGCTCGGCCAATAGGGCGGCCGCCTGGGTGTCTCCCGCGAGCACCTTCGCCAGGAGCACCCGCAAGAACTCCGGGATGCCTCGCGACAGCCAAGCGTCGGCCGCATGCTCTTCCATGCGCGCCGTCACTTCTATCCACGCCTGCCAGTCGGCGCGATAGTGGTATGGGGTGACGAACGCGGGCACGCGGTCTGGAGACCCAGGCAGCGCCGGGAAGTCGAGCCGGGACCAGCTCTCGTTGTCGTGGGTGTACTCCAGCGTGAGGGCGAAGCGCCTGCTGCTGATGGAACCGAACACACCGTACGCGTTAACGAGGAAGCAGTCGTCGTAGAAGCGCAGCCACGGGGAGGGCGACAGCATCTCCGGGAGGGCCTCCAGGGAGCCGACGGCAACCCGCAGGGCCAGCAGCGCGCATGCCCACATCATGGCCCCGCGCTGCACGGAGCTGCACCGCGGCTCCGTCTCGCGCTCGGGCGCCGCCGGGCCCGACAGCGGGCTATAGCGCAGCACGAAGTCGCCCCAGCCGCCGAGGACCGGCAGGGGCTCTCCCACGTCGCAGGGCGCGGCCTCGGCCCACGCCAGGTCCGCGGCCTTCGCCTCGGCCACGGAGGCTTCGGAGAAGACCCAGGCGGACAACAGAGCGTCGTCGAAGCAAGCGAGCATGGGCACCAGGGTGATCCAGTTTATGTAGGCGTAGCTGCCAGTGAGCAAGATGCACGCCATGAAGCCCACGGGGATCGCGCCTCCCGAGCGGCGTGGAAGCCGCAGTGGGACCAGGAGGAGCCAGGGCCCCACAACCTCGACGGCCAGCACGAGCGCACACTCCAGCTGGTGCACGGGCATCGGCAGGTGGTGCATGAACCACGCGAGCGCGTTCGGGATGGGCTGCGTCTCGTAGTGGGTGGCCGTGCAGGTCAGCGCGCGCCAGCAACTAGACGCGCGCCGTCCGAGCTTGCTCAGCCCGGTGCCCAGCATCACCCGGAAGGCCAGCCAGCGCATCAGGCAGATCACGACGAACGGTGGCGGGTGGCTCCGAGGAAAGAGGGGGCGCGAGAACGGAGGGTAGAGAAACGCTACCAGGAACCCTGTCTCCAGCGTCTGCCACTCCCAGCCGTAGTGCATGATGTACGTCGACTCCAGGTTCACGACGGACAGGTGCAGGAGCCAGCAGGCGAGCGGGAGCAGACCGCTGCCGACCCTCGAGAACACCATGAGGGCGGCCGACACGATGCCCGCCAGCGCGGCCACGTCCAGCTGCGCGTCGCCGAAGCCGAACGCATCGAATGCCGGCCTGGGCCTCGAGCTCCAGATGGCGGCCCGCCTTGCTGGCTCCAGGCCGAGGTCGCCCAGTAGAGCCTTGTTCTGCTGCAGGGACACCAGGAAGGTCGAGGATCCTCAGAACGCGTGCTAGCACGAACTCGTGCTTTTACACTGGGGTTCTGCGGATACGACGCAGGCGGTGTCAGAAGGCCCGACGCAAGCTGCGCGCTGTTGGTGGAGCAGGACGGGGTAAACACGCAGTGGGCTAACGCACGCCCCGAGGATCATCGAAAAAGCCACCAGGTAGACCCCGCCCATCGCCCGGTACAGCGCCACCCGCGCCAGCCAGTAGGTGGACTCGGCGCGCCAGCTGCGCTGCCACTCCAGGAGCGCGGGCGAGGCACCGGCGGCCGCGGCGGTGGTGCCCGCAGCCGCGGCGCCCGCGGGGCGGAGCAGCGGGTCGCCCTCGGCGGGCCCCCCGCGAGGCGGCGGGCGGCGGGCGCTGGCCCTGGGCGGCGCCATGCTGGTGGCGGGAGCGAGGCAGCCTCGGGCTTCGGGCGCTGGCCGAAGGCTCAAGCCAAAGGGGCTACGGACCAAGGCACCAAGGCGCGCGCGCGCATCGTACGCCGCTGCGACGGTGCCCGCGGACACTCATCGGCAGCGCCCCCGCAGCGCATTACTGCTTCAAGCTCGCTGTAAACGGCACAGGGGTAGACCCATCTGCTCCTGACGTGCCCGACGGGGAACAGCCTGGACAGCCGGCCCGACAGCAAAAAACGACCTCACCCACGACAGACCTTGCATGGGGGCGAGTCT